GATTAACCCTGCTATCCGAGCATGGTTATTTCTGACAGACAAGAAGTTAAATTTTGACAACCGTGGCTCGAAAACCGGTCGATCGACAGCACGGGGATTTTCGAACATAGAAAATAACTTTCGAAATGTCACTTTTAACCACGAGTTAAATTTAACTCGGCAAATGGTTCACAGCCTAAGAGGATTTTAGTTCATTACACCGTTAACGATTGGTCGTATATCTCGCGTTACATTTGTAAACGTTACATAAGCATTTGTAAACAAACTTTCGTGGGGTCTTAAATTTACTCGCCACATGAAGTACGCCCACGCAAACCAGCAGCATCGTCAGGAAGAGGAGAATTTCCCCTACCCGATGTTGCTGTTGTATAGACCAATGCACAAAATGAACCGCACGAAAAAATTTGACGTTTGAGCGGTGCCGTGTTTACTAAAAATGAACACTTTATGTTCATTATTCATTAATCATGAACATTAAGTTTTCATTTTTAGTAAACACGGCACCGGTGAAACGTCAAAAAGTTTACCCGTGCACTGGTCCATTGCGCGGGCGTACTTCGGGTAGCGGGTAAAGTTTGTTTACAAATGTTTATGTGGCGTTTACAAATATTACGCTTCATATTTACCTTCGTCGGTTTACCTGGAGGCCATTATTTAACATCAATTCGCAGGTTAGGTAGTATTAAATAAATTACACTGCAATTATATACAATATTATTAGTGATGGTTAATTCTAATGCAGGTATTTATGTGTCACTTACAATCTGTTGTTGGTTTGCGGTATATTTTAGTGCTTAACGTGTATGATGTGGTTTAATTTAATTTTCCTTTCGTGTTAAAGTACCTACAGAACTTCTCGCGAATTTCCTTGGCGGCATTTGAACTGTTCTTGCGAGTTGTATAGTTGAGGTTCGGTAACGGATTTACTTCATTCCCTCCTTCGTTAATCTGGTAATGATTATTTGTCTGCTTGGATAAAAAATTGTGCAGGTAGCAGCAAGCTCTGACAACAATACCCGATTTATCTGGTTCCAGCATTATGGATTTCTGGAAAACCCCGAAGCGGCTGGTTAATATTCCGAAGGTGTTTTCAACAGTAGCTCTTGCCCTCGAAAGCCTTTTGTTGTATTCATACCGTTCTTCGTTTAGTAATTTTTGTGGATATGGCTTCAACATATCTGTCCTCAACGCGAAGGCTTCATCAGCCACGAAAACGTATGGGAATTTTTCATCCGTGTTGGGAAGTGGAGCTGATTCTGGAAGCATTAAGTTATTCTTCTCGAGTTGCTCTCCAAATTTAGAATAAAACAGCACTCCTCCATCCGACACTCGTCCGTTTATACCGACGTCAACCATTATAAACTTGATGAGTAGACTTATGTCCAACCACTACTCGCTAGATGCTCATCTCAATAGAATAAACCTCGTGGACAGCAACATCTGTCGGTGTGGAAACGGTTACGATGACATCGAACACGCAGTTTGGCAATGTACGGATAATGACGCCGCCAGAGAGCGACTTTTGAATACCCTCGAGGCCCAAGGAAGACAACCCTATGTTCCTATCAGAGACGTGTTGGCAACCCGTGATCTCTGCTATATGCAGTCCGTTTATGTTTTTCTTCAAATGTCTAGTATAAGAATTTAATTCCTTTTGTATTTTGTCTCTCTTTATTAGTTTTTGTTTGTCTAGTTCCCCCGTCTCGATGAGTCTCATCGTCGCCCACTGGTCACCCACCATAGCCGGTCGAACTCCGGACGAAGCTAGAACAGTACTACCGTTCATACTGGCGACAACGCTCTGATGAGACAACGAAACCCTACCCCAAGCTCCTCCCCTGATCCTATCCTTCGAAAATGTACCCTTCTAACCTCGAGTAAGCCGCGAGTAATCGGCCCAACTCCTACTAGACATAGAATTAAGTGAATTTTGTTACACACAGTGAACAATGAATTATCGGCTCCGTAAAGCTAACGCGATTGAGCCTTCCAAATAAACGAACTAGATAAAAAAAAAACCATTATAAATTCTTTTCTTGAATTTACAAGCGCCATCAGAACGATGCTGTAGAATCCTTTATAATTGAAGAAAAGTGATCCTGAGTGGGCTGGTTTCTGGATGGCTACATGCTTGCCATCAATGGCACCGATACAATTATGGAAATTGTATCGACTTCCAAAACATTCAGAAATTTCGATCCAATCTTTTTGTGTCGTCGGAAACTAGAAGTAAAAAAAATCGTCATGGTTGTGAACGTTTGGGGGTAGTGTAAACTGCAAAACATATGTTTTATAGACAAGCATACAAGTTTTATAGCATAACAAGTATACCTTTATGTAGCTCTGAAGCACGTAAGCCAGTACTTCACATGTTTCAAGGACTGCGACGCTTATTGAAGCTGGCGACATTAAAGCTGAGAACTTCAAATCTTCAAAGTTTCGGCCAGTTGCCAAATATCGCAAAGTCAACGACAAACGCTCGGTTACAGAAATACTCTTGCGCATGACCGTATCTTGTCGTCGTAGGAAAGGGGTCACCATAGTCAGTAATTTATCGTATATTTGCTGGTCCATCCTGAAGTAGTTCCGGAAATCCTCAGCATCAGTAATGCTGATTTCACGTAACAGGGCAACATGCGAAAGCCGTTCTCTTTTTTTTAACCATTCTTTCACCCAACAGCGTCGCTTTATTTGTTGGTGTCCACTAAGAGCTATTACACAGCAAAAAAAAAAATGTAATATCAACCAACGTAATTCAAGCTGATGTATGAAATAATGATGTAATAACAAAAAGCAGATACAATATTACATCAATGGATGTAATTTTGTTCGCAAAATCGATGTACATCATACAATGTGATATTACACAACCGATGGATTGACTTGGTTGCAGCAGTTTCGATGTAATATTCAACAACTTTTTTTGCTGTGTACAATAGCTAAGCAGGCTTTCTTTCGACGATCCATTTCGAATAGCTTTTCTTCAGACTGCGAATCTGGAACCACCGATGAAAATTATACAAGGTGTGTACGGAACTGGAGCTACGCAGTGGAATTGTCTATTCCGAATCCGATAGTTTTTTTTAATAAAGTTCGAACAAAAACGAATGAAACATTACCTTATTCGTGATGAAATGTATGTGCGGAAACGGTCCTCCGTGTTGAATCTGGTTCCGGCAGCGAATCTTCCGATTTCCGAACCCAATTATTGGAAAAATACGCTTTTTCTTGAGCACTTTGAGCTGAGTGAACCAAAGTTCTTAAAAATGGCGGATGTATTATTGATGGAAGATATTGACAATGTGGGGGAACAAAAATATTGACTTCAAGTATTGATTCTCAAAAGTATTGATGAAAATATTGAAAGTAAAAGTATTGACAATATTTGTTACCGTGTGGGGTTTGCTTAAAGCGCGCGGATGGAGTCAATTCCACCGTGGATGATTTGAGCTTCAACGTATGTCAGCAACGTTACGGTGCAACAAAGATGTTTTCACCCAATAATGGGTAAAAATGTACCCATTATTGTTCCCTGAACGGGTTTCTAAAATAAGTGAAAAAGTACCCATTATTTGAAATTTTTATTCACCAACAAACTGGTAATATTTCACCTATTAATAGGTAGTAGCCAGTTACAGTGCAATCAAATTCAGTCGAAACGAAAAGCTTTTTCATACAAGCTTTCTTCTACTTATTCTTCTTCTTCTCCATTCCTTTATTTAACGTCGGTCTCTGTTCCGCAATCTCGTGCCAATCACCGACGGACATCGATTGCCATCCGTTGACGGCAATCGAATGTGAAGGATATCACACCTACACGCTAACTTGAAAGTACCCATTAATGGTTGAAAAAGACCCATTTTGAAGAAAAGTGGCTTAACTCATTAATGATTAAACAATTTTACCCATTAATGAGTATCTGTTACCCATTAATGAGTAATTGTTAATCATTAATGGGTAACAGATACTCATTAATGGGTAAAATTGTTCAATCATTAATGAGTTAAGCCACTTTTCTTCAAAATGGGTCTTTTTTACTCATTAATGGATACTTTCAAGTAAGCGTGTAGAAATACTCAGAGGGAGAGATAGGCGTAGAAAACAAAATACAATTCGGCAGCAGGGATTTTAAATGACTTTTATTTGTTATTCGATTTACGTGCAAAATAATAATTGATTGCATCGCAATATTTTGCACATTTCTTGGTGTCATTCATTAACCAACCAAGTTAGAATATTGTTTTTGGTTCCAAAAACTAGTTGAATTTGAGAAGCACACAAAATATAAATGTGATTGAATTTCTGTTCGATTGCAATGCTCTCAAATTTATTCTAGTAAGAATAAGAAATTATCGGAAAAAATCTAATTGGAATGTTCGATTGGCTCAGTTTTTGACAGTTCATTTGGCTCAAAACATTCTCTCCGCCCATCTCTCTCTCTGAGTATTTCTAATCGCACCCATTCAACACACATCCCGCATAAACCGAGTCCTAAACATTAACCATAAAAAGCGCCTAACCACCAATTCGGGATATCATCCCAGCTTTATGTGGTATGGCCGTACCATCTATGATATCGTTAGTGTATGGTACCCGTTTATTAGAGATGGGCCATACAAGCTTTGATACTAGAAATACTTCGTTTCGACTTGCGCAATGAGGTCCCAGTTTTTTTTTCTAAATTGAGTTGTAATCAACTCAATTTGAGTTTGTCTCTTCGGTCGTGGAGACCGTAATCGACGCTCCGCGTTAAAATCTGTCCGGCGTCGCTTTCAAAACATTACCTGTGCTGGCACAAGACATGTGTGCGTGAGAGTGCTGTCAGTTTCGTTCCGTCAAATTTGTGTTTCTCCCCTACACACTGATGCGATGCATCAAACTTCACCCAAAGAGATGAGATGGATGAGAAACAGCATTTGTAGTAGGTGAATGCGAGTGAAAGAGATGGAATGGAGTACGGTAGCGGTAATGTGTTGTCGTCGTACAGCTACAGCCATCTTTTGCTCATAACATAAACCCATCACGTTTTTATTTGCTTACACGGGTGCGGATGAGAGACGAAAAGATCTTTCTCGGTCGTACTTGTGTGATGCTGTAAAAACCGTGTCGTCCGTCAGGTTGAACTGTCGCCTTTCAGTGTAGTCGTCCATAAAACTCGGTTGCGGTCGTCGTCTTGTCGTGGTCGTCGCGGCGTATTCTTTTTCTAGTGCTACTAATTTTCGGATTAAAATCCCTGTGTGAAGAGAATCGGAAAGCTGAAGTTCCTGAAGCTGCTTCCTACGGGACGACACCCAATGGAACAAGTGCGGTTGAATCCGTTGGTGTTTTTATCCGATCAAAAGTGACAGTGCTGAAGTTCTATCGGTATCAGTAGGTGGTGGATTCGGGAGAAAAAAAAATTGACCCCCGAAGGATCAGGCTAGAAGAAGCTGTGGAAGAGTGTCGCAGTTTTTAGTGTCCATTCGAAGAGCAACCTGGAACCCGTGCCCGTGTGCATTATTATTTTTTGTTGGTCCAAAGTTGTGGGCCTATAGAAGAAAACTCAGTGTTCTGCTTCCGGTGACGTCACATTCCGGCGGATTGCGGTAGAGAGGCGCTGACCTGGAACTACTGGCTGCTGGTGGTGGATCAGGTATCATCTTTTTCCTTGCGTGAAAGACATTTTTTGGAATTCGAAGAAGGCGAAAAGAGAGTGGTAAGCATACAAATATGCATACATTTACAAGAAAAGAAACAGTAGTGTTGGTAGAGCAGTGCTGCCAGATTGATCCATTGGTAAAAGTGAAAATAAAGTTTGAAAATGATAAAATGTAATACAGTAAAAAGTTCTCTTTATCAATCAATTGATGAAGAGTTTGGAACAGACTTTTTACCAGCGATTTATAGAAACAAATTAATCAACCAGTGTGGTAATAAAGGTTTGCTCCGCCCTTGGTAAATCATAAAGTTGACTCCCTTTCCCAATCGACCATTCTATGAAACTTTGACATGAAAAGCAACATCAATATTATCATAACTGTCAAGCAAACTGGCTCCTGTCATCTTATAGCGAATTCGTTTATTATCGGGGTTGGAACCAGTTCCAACCCGTGTGAACCCGAACTTTTTGTCAGGTCGAACCTCAACCTGAGGAATGTTTTAAAAACAAACGATCAAATTGACGTTTGTCAGAAAACAAGCAGACCCAATCTTGATACCCGATTCAGGTTGGAACTGAATAATAAACGAATTCGCTATTAAATCGACTATAGACGAGTGCACGGATGGATCTGAGTTCACTCATTCGACAAAAAGTGACACAACAGCGGGGACCTGTTTACTAAAAATGAACACATGAATAATGCTCGCGTAACTTTTGAAAAGGGCCTATCAACCTTTGTAAACAACTTCCTAGGTCCTTTTCACGAGAACCGAAGTACGCCCACGCAAACCAAGAGCACTATTGGGAAGGGGAGATTTTCCCCTACCCGATGGTGTTGTTAGTTTACGTGGGCGTATTCGGTTCGCACGAAAAGGGCTTAACAAGTTTTGTGTACAAAAGTTGACAGGCCCGTTTCATATGTTACGCGAGTATTAATCATGTGTTCATTTTAAGTAAATAGGGCCTCGCTGTTGTGTTACTTTTTGTCGAGTGAGTGAACTCAAATCCATCCGTGCACTCGTCTATTGGTTAAAATTAAATTTGACTTGATTTAATTAAGTGTCCGGTTTCATAATAGAAACAAGGAAAAAATAAGTAAGTTACTTTTCTTCGTGATTCCTAGTCTTTTAATCGTTGTTTTCAAGTTTAAAATGATTAAGACTAGGGTTTTGATGCATGGCCAATATCGATGCCATTGCTTGATTGTGTTGCTATGCTAAGGAATCCGATTTTAACTGATGTAGGTGCGCGCCTTTGGAAGGTGTTTTAACTCTTCGAAGGGTAGGTATACATAACGGGACCTTTCAATTTGAATCGGTTAATTTCTCAACAGTGCTGGAGTAATACGACATGCACTAAAATAAGGACACGGGATATACCACAATAGATCAAATTACTGGTCGCAGTGGATTTATGTTCCGAACGAAGTGCAGTAATGGCAAGATTTTAAATATGTGGTAGGTTGCGTAGTATTGAAAGACAAGTGCGTACCCCCGGGCCTTGCAAATCTTTTACAGCTTATGTGCTTTACTGAATTAATTTGATGTGAATTTCCAAGGAACTCTAAAGATAATTTCAAGAGATTTCAGACGAGAAGCGAAGGGTAGAATTATTTGGAAAACTTTAAGTGAAATCAGAGGATTCTTTTCAGGTTAGTTCTGTTGATCTCCAAATTCTAGGTGAAAGGTAAGGAGAATTCCAAGGTAGTTCTGAATAGAATCCCAAGGGAATTTTGAATAGAATTCAAAGGAAATTTCAAACAGAATTCTGAGAAGGGTACCAAGAGAGTTCTGATAATTCTATGAAATGTATAAGGAAAACTTCAAGGTACACGTGAGGAGGGAACTCTGACACGAATTCATTGAAAATTGCGAGGGGCACGCAATACAAAGAACCGGTGCGTTGAAGTTAAAATGCAATCAAAAGTACTTAAAGTAATTAATGCGTTTTGAAGTAGTACTGACGGTAATTAAAATTATCTATCCGTAATTAAAGTATTGAAAATGTAATTAATGTACTTTAATTACGAAATTTCGACTGTAATTAATGGAGTTAAAAAGTAGTTAATGTTCTACATTGTGTAATTAATGTAATTAAAGCAGTAGTTAATGGAATTAATTTAATTACAGCCGTTGTCTGCGTTGGAGTTGAAGGTTATTGCGTGCCCCTAGGAAAATTGTGAGAATGATTCCAAAGTGATTCTAAGGAATATTCGAGAGAATTCACGGAAATTTCCATCGAAGTTTTGAGGTAAATTTCAAAGGAATACTAAGGAGTGTTTCAAGGCTTTCCTGTCATCATTTTTAGAGAACTCAAAGAAGAGTTCCTTAGGAACTCAGAGGAGAATTTCAAGGAATTTACGGGATATCTGATAAATTTAGAGGGAACTTCAAAGTTTCATGGACATTTTAGGAGAATAATTAGTGAACTGAAGAGAATTTGTTTTATTTTTTTTAAACTTTAACACTCTTGGGTTATTCGTGACTTGTTCGGGGGTGAAATTTGAATCCGTGATTTTGGCGTGAGAGGTATGGATGCTAACCACTACGCCGAGGTCACCCCTTGAAGATAGTTCTTGGGAAGGTATTAGGTAATACAGTGAATCCAATGAAGAATTTTAAGAGAATTGCAGAGTGAAGCAACGAGCTTTCTATCATTTGTTTTGAGTATTATGGAGTAAATTGTAAGGGGATACCAGAGAGAGTTTTAAGACGCACTCTGAGGAAACGAAAAGATGATTGTGAGGTAATTGTTGCCTCGTAACGTGAGTAGATCAACTTTTCGTGGCACGTTACATGATGTAAGATCTACCATCGATTCCTAGTCCTGACTACTTCATACTAAGGGAACAGGATTTTTCAGTAATCAAAGGAACTTATCTTAGTCCTTGTTACTTTTTATGATTTGTGGATGGTGACAAGACTCGGCTTTGTCCACCGAAGATGATCTTGAACATGGAAAACATGAGTTAATTCGTCTTCATCTATGTGATTCCTAATCAAATCTTCTATTCGTTGTTCTCTGTTTGAAGTGCTTAAGACTAGGCTTCGGATGCATGGTCATTATCGGTGTCATTGCTTAATTTTGTTGCTAAGGAATCCAATTTTGACTTACAAAGAAGTGCGCCTTTGGAGGGTGCTCTCACTCTTCGAAGGGTATAAATAGCATGACCTTTCAATTTGAATCGATTCGTGTGACCGAATGAATGGGAAAATTCTCTTCTGGAGACAACCCTCCTTGTATAGTTGTCCATTCATAGTCGCTCCAATGTTGAAAACCTTTGTTTTCTTTCCACAACTGCAGATGCCTTGCCAAATCATCAACTTACGAGCGATTTTATCTTCAAAGACAAATTCGAACTTACCCGGAGCATCCCCCTTACGTTTGGGAAGGTCATTTTTGACCCGGAATTTATCCAACGTCCATTTTTACGTAAGTTTCATCGTTCATCAAAATACATCCGTTAAACTTGGTCAGAACTTACGTACAGCTTCCTTGTACGGTTTTTGGCAACCAGGTTTTGTTTCAGCGTCCTGTTGGGATGTTTGCTGGCTTGGTAGTTGGTACGACCGAAAACCTTCTCACATACAGATTCGCCGAACTGTACTGTGCGCCGCACTAAACATTTTCGCCAAATCAGGTCCGAAGATCCCAGGATTTTTTTGGACTGCCCTAATAATCTCAATTTTCAGTCGATTTTGGACTCTTGCGTTCCATCTGCGATAACTGTTTTACCTAGTCTAGTCTAGTCTAGTCTACACATACACATCATCTGCGATAACTGTTTTACCTGTGCACAAAACTATATTCGTTACCAATTTACCATACTGTATCTATAAAACCAGATTCAACAGTTTTTGTTCAATCGTCATAAGTATAAGCCACTCTAGTTGATCCTGGGGTAAACAGATAAACTCCTTTCTACGAGTGCAGTGGAGGAAAGAAGCGACAACATTTGTCTCCGAGCCTGAGACCTCGCGTAACATTTGAAAAAAGTCAATCATTTTTTGTGCACAAAACCTGTATTACTCTTGTCGCGAAGTACGTCCAAACAAACCAAGAACACTATCGGGAAGGGTAGAATTTCAAAACTTAGCTTGAATTTACTAACCTTACCTTGTTGTCCTCTACTGTCCGAAGAATTCGTCTTCACTGTACTCGATCCATGGCCACACTTTGCCAGCCTCGTAGTCTGCGAAGGGTCGGCAGGTTGCCTTCTACTTGGTCGGTCCACCTAGCCCGCTGCGCGCCTCTTCTTCGTGTTCCTGTTGGGTCGCTTTCGAGAACCATTTTCACTAAGTCGTCGTGCGGCATTTTTACGGCGTGCCCACTCCACCGTAGTCGCCCAATTTTTGAAGTATGGACGATGGATGGTTCTCCCAGCAGCTGGTGCAATTCGTGGTTCATTCGTCTCCTCCACGTTCCGTCATGCATCTGCATTCCACCGTAGATGGTACGCAACACCTTCCGTTCGAAAACACCAAGGGCGCCGTGGTCCTTCACGAGCATAGTCCAGGTCTCGTGGCCGTAGAGGACCACCGGTCTAATCAGCGTCTTGTAGATAGTCAACTTATTCGTCACCGTCAATCTGAACTCGGGGTGGTAGGCTAACATTGTCTACCCTAGAACCTCTTCCTTTCATGTATTTTGTCTTCGATGCGTTGATGGCAAGTCCAATCCGCCTAGCTTGGGTACGAAAGTGACCCCGTTGGCTTCGTACCACTCCAGGATAACATTTGATAGTGGCACGAAGCTAGATCCGGCCAGAAGATCATAGGACCCTCGTGTTGCTTCATCAGAGGAAGCAGATGCTTCTGTAGACACTCCTTGAGGTAGATCTCCCCGTTTACAGTCCCGGTTGTCACGAACGGCGCACTCCGTTTGCCACATGAGGAGATCGCTTGTCAAATCATGTATTTCTTGGCAAACTTTGAAAGGTTCTGCTTCCTTACTTCCTCCGGGACATCAAACTTGTGCTGGGCGGTAAAGAACAGTAGCGCCGGAAACAATGAGGCTTCGTCAGCATCTGAGTGTACAGTTACCGGGCCCGGATTTTGCCGTTCGTCACTATTTGGAGCCTTCTGCACTTTGTACGTATGCAGTACCTCCCGGTCCTTGGCTCTCTGAACGAAAGACTTGGACAGATTCAACTTTTTGGCCGCATCCCTGACCGAAGCATTGAGATTCCGCTAAAATGATTTCACGACACGCTTGTGATCCTGATCACTAATAGAACATCCATTCTGACCGCATTTCTTCTTCCGTTTGATGCTCAGAGTTTCGTAGTAACGTTTAATCACACGACTCACCGTTGACTGTACGATTCCGAGTTGTTTTCCGATGTCCCGATGAGAGAGCTGAGGATTTTCCAGGTGCTTGCGCATGATAACCCGAATAGGTTATTAGGCACTCCTTATTGCGCATGATAACCCGAATAGGTTATTAGGCACTCCTTATTGTTATCGTTTATGCGGGGCATACCAGGGTTACATTATTCCCATTTAAGGTCACAATTTAAATATTTAATAAGGATTAGATCTCTCCAAATGTGGATAAATTCGTTTTCAACCGGAGCCTATGTTAACCTAATCATTACAGGTTCAGCAAGACAAGACCTAGCTGGAAGCGGCTTGTTCAATTCCCGGCGTTTCTTGTTGAAAAATTTCTCAACTTCCCTTTGATTTGGTTTGCCACACAATTAAAAAATGAGACAGGCTTAGAAACCTATACCCGAGCCTATGCCTACCCGCATAAATCACAACCATACGATTACCACATTAAAAATGGTTTATCTTCCTCTGAAAACCATAATGAGAAAGGTTCAGTCAACTTTAATCAAACCATACCTAGATAAAGTTTTGACCATATTGATTAAGGTTTTCGAAGACCCAACCATATGAACAATGGGTGGTTAAGAACGTTCACCATACGAAATCTTGCTTTTTCTCATACATTATTAGCAAAACAACTATAGCCTTACCACATCAGAAAAGGTTCTAGTTGGATATGTGAAACTATTTCCATTAACTTTCGAATAAGGTAGTACGGTTTAGAACCAACCATTGTTGTTAACTTCATGATATACTATGAAATGGTATAAATTACTATACTTATTGACGTTATAATAAATACTGTCGTAGCTTATCCGGAATACAGCCGTCATGGGTTGTTCTTTAATTTTAATGTGATTTACAAGATTTCTTTTTGTGGACACCTCCCTTGCTCTTGGTAACATGTTTATTGATCTAATATAAAATGAATAGATAAATGAATTTGCCCTGCAAAACAAACTCCATTCCATTTCTGGAAGATAAAAAAGGCCCCGGCATAACGTACCTGCTTCGATTTCCTTTTTGGATGATGTGAGCCACCAACATCGAAATCTCCTTCACATGTAAACCGCTGTTAGCCCTGAATATTTGTGTAGAAAATCATGCGCTTTTAAGAAATATTTTATGCTTTAAGCTAATATTACCAAGGGTTTTAAAAATAAAATAACGAACAAAACAACACAATGAACTCACGAGCACCGTTTCAATCAAAAGCGTTTTCTTCTGTTTGTACCAATTGTAAAAACATAAAGCAACCATAATCGAAACACGTAAGCGTTGTACAAGTTGTTTACAACTTTTATTCGTAATGTTTTGTAACAGTTCAGTATAGTTGATCAACCGTAACAAAATTTAGCTGAAACATACCAGAAACTGTAACAGTTGAAAGTAGTGTTTCTTTAATGTTTATTACATTCCATAAACCATAACAAAACTATTTTGTGAAAAGTTAACATAGCTAGTAAGGTGTCAGTGAAGTTTGAACTGTTCTAGAAATGGTATTTTTCTATGCGGGTAGCCCTCCCCCATAGCCTTGGAAGAAGTTGAAGGCGAGTGTACTGGGACTGGGCATAATAGCCAAATAAGTAGACGACTGTTCTAGACCAACAACTGAAATAGGCGGAACAACCAAACGTAAACAATGGGTTTAAACACAAAATTCCGAGAACCAAAACACTCCCACGCAAACTAACAATGCCAATCGATAAAGAAAGTTTGCTCTATCAGATGATGGTGTTAGATTGGATGAGCTTTGATTATCGAGGAATTTGCGTTTAAAGCCATTGTTTACGTTTGGTTGTTCCGCTTATTTTAATTGTTGGTCTAGTGTTTATCAATCCAGTAAATTCTTATTATTTCCATTTTCCTTTCCAGATTATCGTTGGAACCTTGAAATCATCTGCAGGCAACTGGCAACTCTGTGCAACAGCAATATAAAAGCGAATCAAGTGCGTACGTGAAGTGGAAATACGAGAGCAAAGTGTGCAATTCAGAGAAGAAGAGCGGGTTGGTGCGAAAAAGTAAGAAGTATCGGAAAGAGCAAAAATAATACGACAGTGAAGTTTCCTAGATATAAAAAATAAGCTTGCAAAAATAAAGATAAATAAAAAGTATACTCACCCGACGAAAGGGAGAGAAAAAAAGTTTAAATAAATAGCTTGCAGTGCGGTATTTTGAGTGTACATATTCGGTGGTGTGCGTTATTTGCAACATACAAGTGTGAATTATGTATTGTTCGGTGGATAAAAATCAATCATCTGGTGTAGTCAGTAGTAGTGGTGGTGGCGGCGGTGGTAGTGGCAGTGGAAATGCTGGCGGCGCTGGCAGTATCGGTGCTGGCAGTGGCGGTGGCAGCAGCGGAGGAGGCGGCGGCAGTGTTGGTAGTGGTAATGGCAACACAACCACACCGCTGCAAAACAACACAAAAAGTGTCAAAGAAGGTAATGTAATGCTGTGCTTGTTTTTGTTTTTCTCCTTTTTTCTTTTACTTCTCAAATCTGACATGCCACCAGACTACCGACGGTGGCAAATAATAATTAGTCTATCAGCGATGTACTTCAGTCACAATTTGTGCAATTTTGATTTTGGGAGAAAATGGTAAACAAAATCTCGATTGAAAGGTGCTTGGCTTCAGTTGAGGCACCTGACTAGTCAGTCAGTGCTGACAGGTAAACATGCTTTTCGTGCTTAATTGAAGTAACATTCGGCGGTGTGGAGACCGTGCTGATGTGATTCAGGCAAAGGTTCGGTTTGCTGTCTTTGGGGGGAAAAACATGATCATTAAATTATCAAAATTTAAGAATATTGTGAGATATTAATCAACGATAAATTTCGCGATGCCATCAGTTGTTCTAGACTGTTATCTTAAAAGGGCGTCATTCCAAAATCACCATATCAAAAAAACCGCTTGCTGGAGACCTCCATTTAATTTAATGGATTAATATGTGTGAAGTACTTTTATAAGCTTAAATTACAGTTAATGGTGTAATCTATTAGCATTGAACACTAAACACGTGATACACATTAAACGTGTTGTATCTAGGGACACAAAAGTGATCTTAACGAAGGACTACGAAAATTGAATTCGTATATTTAAGGGGTTACGCCTACCTGTAAACTTTCAAAAAATCGATTTTTTATTGTCCTAATCGAAAGTATATAAAGTCAAGAATATTTCCTCAAAAGATCAAGTTGATCCGATGAAAATTGTGAAAGTTATGCGACGTACAAAAATATTCACTTATAGTGGACTAAACCCAACTTTAAACTTTAAACGCGATTATCTCGGAATCATATTTTCAAAACCGGTGCCAAAAATTTCTCGAAATGTATACATTCGATTCGTTTTGATTTCTGTTCAGTACTATTTTGTGCAGTCCACGATCGTTCGGATTTCGTCTATCATTTAATTTCGATTTTTTACAGCCGATCAAAGACAAATTTTAAGGATCAAAAATCGGCACTTCAACTTTGCAAGGCCGCCATTTTGTCAAAAAAATTTAAAAAAACCGAACGATCAAGGAATAGTTTAACACATGCTTAACGTTTTGGCATGGTTTTTTTTTTTATTTCAGATGATTACATCACAAACCGCAGTTGGCACCGCAAAAAGCGTTTTTTAGAACATCGTCCACGGGGAGCAGGACCTCGTTTTTACAGCATCGGCTGATAAATGTACCATTTAATGTGTGTTCAATAAACGGCAGAAAACCGATTTTCAATATGTTGCGTCGTTTTCGAGAAAAAAATCCAAACTTTCGCTTTTTCTCGGTCTTGCAGGTAGGCGTAACCCCTTAAATAATCATTCGTGAGCCCGTATCATTAATGCACAGTTAGTACGAGTGTGAGGCTCTACCCAAATGCTTTTGCATTGACATTTGGAATTTGATCATCTGTAAATGTATCATTTTTCGGGAAATGCTCCCTAAACCTTTGAAAACGTCAAATTAGTGCGTAGATGTAGCAACTCATGTTTTTTAAAAAGCATAAAGTCGATCAAGTTTCTAAAAGAATTTCTAGGACTGGTAGCAGGTCATATGAAATCAATATATATTGTTCATAAGTCGTGCCTTATAACATTCTTAAGTATATTTCCCTCAGTGTACGTATCTGTCATGGATACCAAAATGATTTAAGTGGAATTAAATGGAAGATAATATTTTTTGCTGTTTTATTTAAGCATTCTGCTAACAACCCAATTTCATTACTTCATTCAAGTGCATTGTTTTAATGCGCAGAGATTCATGCAAGAGGCTCCACCAATTTTCCATAACATACGTACACTGGTTAAATTTAAGCTAGTATCAGTATTCTGGCATCTGAACTTGACGTCCGTGTTAGGGATCCGCTAACACCCAAACTCGTCAGTCAAGGCTACTTGCTTAAGTTTGATAATTCTTCAATAGTATTCTATTCATAATCAATTATAATTTTAAAATCAAACAAATCTTACATCAAATCTACAATGTAAATCCATCCACAAATGACTAAGTTATAAACATTTAAAACCTTACATGATTTTGTGACACTGCTTCTACGAAATGGTTCGCAAAGATCTAGTCCTACATCGATTTTTTTTTCCGTGAAATTGAGAAGATAAAATATACAGGTTTGAGTTATTCACAAAAGTTATAGTTAATATTAAAACCTACAAAAGCTTCAAACATATTTTAACGGAATTCGGATAATGAAAAAAGTTAGAGGCAAATGAATGTAAATGAATGCGCGAAATGAATGTAAATGATTTTCCATACCTGCCAGAAGCATCATAGATTTTTTCGTGTTTATTGCGTAATTTGTGAACTACTGTAAATATCTATATGTGGCAAAATATAATTTGTTTACGTTGTAGCTCTTCCGCCCTTTTCAAATGTTGGTTTAGAGTTGTTGTACTAATGGTCCTGTAATCAATATTTAGACACACCACAGATAAAATTTCGACAAAATAACTCAATAGTGTTTGGAAATTAAATCTTGGGAACGTGCAATGCAATTATTTAAATTAACGTTGTTTTTTGTTCATATAACCCAAGTCAAGGAAACGACGGGATATTGTATCTGTATGATGGAAATTTTTCTGTTGAAAAACACTCTTGGTTTACTCTGGATCCGACGTGCAAATGGCGTTCGAGTGACTCTGAAAAGGTTGCAGAGGCGTCCTTCGTGCCACGAAGGCAGCCAGCTGGCCCACCTTCCTCAATAGCATAAACTCCAACCAAACGGCCTCCGACCTGTGGAGGAGGGTTAACTCTCTCAGCGGAAAAAATAAGCTACCAAGGTATTGCCCTCAAGCCAGACGACAGTACCACAACGTACCCCGCAAGCCCTGTCAATGATCGACGGTTACTCGGTGGATTTCTGGCGGAAGCAAAACGCCGCTGTCAATTCCATCGCCAACTTCCCTATCCCCGACGACGACTCGAACGCCCACTACAGTCAGTCGATTAGCTTCCGAGAACTAATGTTTGCCCTATCGAAAGCAAAGAGGACTTCCGCTGTTCAACAGAAAATTGTAAAGCGAATCGCTCCCGTGGCTGTCCCTATCCGTTAGGCTGGCAAACCAAGCACGTGCTGTCTCTCCAAGGTAATGGAAAGGATGGTCAATCGTCGTCTCCGCAGCTTCTTCAATGAGCACAGCTTGTTGAATCACCGGCAGCATGCGTTTCGGCCCGAATACGTATTTTGTTACGCTTGAGTAAGCCTTCCATGACCCTACGGCGGGCGACCAACACGTCGAGATAGCTGCACTAGACATCTCTAAAGCTTATAACCACATCTTGATGCTGGCGGATCTCCATCAGCTCGTTACTGGGAATCAACGGGCAAATTCTTCACTTCACTCGGAACTTCTTGTAGCGTCGCACCTTCCAGGTCTCTATCGGGAGCCATCGCTCTGCTACCTTCTGGGAGGAAATTTGTGTCCCGCAGAAATCGGTACTGGCGTCAATATGAACGATGTATTCTCCGCCGACCATATTGTCATTATGGCCGCCGAAATACTATCAAAATCTTCTGGACGAAACAGGAACAGACCGTTAAGTTTGTGCATCGCTGGGCATCTGGCGCCGGATTCCCTTTGTCGGCGGAGAAAAGTTCGTTCACCCACATGGGCGGTCTCTGCCCACACCCATCATCATTGAATCCCAGGTTATCCCGCAACGAAACACCGTCAAAGTCCTCGGTGTACGACTCGATCGTAGACTTTCTTTCAAGGCCAACTGCCAAACTCGATTGAACCTGCTCCGCTTTCTCGCCATACGCCATTTTGACACCACCCGGCACCTACGAATCCGTATCTCCAAGGTAATCATCGACTCCGTTGAGCAGTTCTTATGTCACTGCCCCCAATAACAGAGAGCAAGAGAGCTTTACAGGATTCTAGGCAAGAGACGCGGTTAGCAATGACGCAAGCCGAACTGCTGCTCTACTAAGTTTTCTTAAAGAGACAGGACTCCTCACTGTAGCCTGCTGCCGGTAACGCCTGGTCATCCGCACCATCACCAGGATAACCGATTACTTCAGATAAGGCCTTCGAACTTCATGCAAGTTCTACAAAATTCGGGAAAGTCTTACAAGTTTCAGGAAAATTCTGTGAACTACTGTGATGACCTACGACGGTCAGGAAATCCCTCCGAACCTTCAGATAAGTTCGATTGAACTACAGGTAATCCTACGAAATTCATGGGAGCTCTCCAAACTACAGGGAATTTCCGAGAAATTAAGGAAAGACCCACAAACTTTTGGAAACCTCTTCGATATTTTAAGCCTTATGAACTTCAGGGAAGCTCTTCTAAATTTAGGGTCCTCATATATTCAGTTAAGTCCTTCAAACTTAAGGGAAGTCCTCAGATCTTCGAGAAAGTTCTTCGAACTTGAAGGAAGTTTTACGAACTTCTGAGAATTTCTACGAACCTCGTGGTACTTCTACGATATTTAAGAAATTCCTATGAATTTCAAAAAAACTCTTTAAAAAAGTCCTTTGAACTTCGGGGGAGTCCCATGAAATTCAGGCAATACAAATTTCAATGAACCCTTCAGGAAAGACCTTAACGCTTCAGGGAAGTTCTACGAACTTTAGGGAGTTTCTATGAACTTCAGCAGTCAGTCTTTTTAATAATAAGAGTTATTAAACCAGTGTTGTTTAAGAAATCTTTTAATCATATGATTTTGAAATCATGTTGCAATCAAAATTCCGGTTAATCGTTGACAATTTGCGGAAAATTTAAACAAACTGGAAATCCGTAAAATTGTTAGAAGCAAAGGTTTGTTTAAAGAGTCCTCATTCAACTAGCCCGTTGGTCAAAAATCTCAATAATAAAGTTGAAAAAATCGCAGTTTCAAAAACAGAAATCTCAAGATTTAGGGGCTTATAGATCTTTAAATTTCAGACATTACACACTTAAAAAAAATCATGTAAATTTAGGTGCTCTGAGACTGACAT